AGAGAGAGAGAGAGAGAGAGAGAGAGAGAGAGAGAGAGAGAGAGAGAAGGAGATATTAATGAGCTTCTGTTCCTTTCTTTGCCTGTAAATCAGTTCCACCAGCTCAAGTTCCACGTTAAGAACACAGTGGCCAATGAAAAGCAATAGTTCACACCAATCCTTCAATTTAAACTCTCCCGTGTCAATGCTTTATTTAATCAACTGACAGAAAATGAATTAACAACAATGCTGGTAATTGATTAAAATGGCATTCATCAGGCAAAAAAAATCAAGCTTCTTAAATGTTATGATTTGTTTCTTTTCTCTGATTTATATATTTGCAACTAATATATTTGGATTTCAGACTATTCGTTCAACAAAATAAGCAGTTTGAAAATGACACGTTGGGGATCTGGGAACTTGTGATAGCATTTTATCAATTTGACATGTAATCAACAGAACATTTGACAGATTCATCATACAAGAATAATCCACACATAAATATGATACATGATAATGTAAATAATCATTTATTGTAGCACTTATCTTCAGGTCCACATGAACTACATTACACATAACAAATAGGCGTTTAAATCACTTTTAGTAATAAACACGAAGATCATTATTAAATATTCCCTAAATTGCAAAAAAGGATGCAAGCTTTTGGTTTTGGCACCACCTTACCCAATTGAGATAGCACTTGAGTATTGCAAAAATGAAATGGATATAGTGTTAGCAAAGTCTCTTGTCAACCGAATCATATATTATTCTTATCTGCCTCATTTGTTTGTGTGACCTGGCTGCTGTAACACTGCAATGGGATATATTGTGACCACATCAAGCAATCAATCTGTTAATCTCAGGCAAAAACAGGGTTATTATAGTAAAAACATCACAATATATTGTTGTGATGTTAACGTTGTGCTTCAAACCCTATTAAGCCAATGCTGACCTCTAGTGGAGGAGGGAAAATAAAACGTTTGTCAATGGGTTCAATGGTGCGCTATTATTTCAGTAAGAAAGCGCAACAGAGGGACAAGTAAAGTAAATTTGGACTGTTTCATTATTGGCAGCTATGAACATTAGTAAATTGTAATATACATGTACTAAGTAGACCTACTGTAGGCCTACTTAACGACAATTTCTTTATTTTAGGAACTTTATTTTACTTTCCATTTTCTGCTGCAGGGGGCAATATTGTACTTTTACTCGACTACATGTGTTCGATTACTTTAGTTATTTTGCGGATTCAATACAAAATATGATCACTGAATAAATTATGTAACACCATCAAGACTAAAATGTTCCGATGGTGAAATTGATAAACTACTTGGCAATATAAATTGTAAAATTAAGCCACACCTTTACCAGCTGCAACATTAATGTACTTATTAATGCATCAAAAATGATAATCAATAAGCTAATAAACATTATTCTGAAATGGGCCAGTACTTTTATTATTTTGTACTTCAAGCAACATTTGGAATGCAGATATTTTACTCGAAACAGAGTATTTCTAGACTTTAGTATTGCTTCGTTACTAAAAAAAAAGAAGTAAAAGAGACGAGTATGGACATAAATACATAAGGCACCCCATCAAATAAATTAAAATGTTGGTGACGTAGCTCGTTGTTATAACCAGAAATAGTTCAAAAGAACAAGAAGCTGTATTTTCTAACCACGGTGACGTCTCTTAAAGGGCCAGTGCCACACGAATACGCATACAGTAAAAAACACCACTGTAGTGCAAATGCTCCCTCTGCTGGTCATATCTACATTTTGTAATGCTTGTTATTTACCTCGCTGACCCTCTTCATAGGCTCACTTTATCTCCGCCAAACCCAACCCACGAAGCACAGCAGCTGAGCTGGTGTTTAACAGAAAACACCGACTGAGTTCCTGCTTCCTCCAGCTGACGGTCCAGGCTCCAGGTAACGTCAGCGAGCCACAGATCTACATACATGCATCTATGGACACGCTACGTTAATGGACTTCACAACCTAATGTGACGCTGGTCAGGTCGTTGCTGTTTCTTTGGACACCAGCGCTAACTTGTCAGTGTGCTAGCTAACTTCACTTTAACCTGCTGACAGGCTGCTAACGGCAGACTCAGTTAAAGCTAACTACGATTAATGGAAGCTGATTGTTATTGTGCAGGAAAACTGTCGTAATATGACTGTACCACTAAATGAATCACACTAATTCCCTTGCTTATGTCCTAGTTAACAACTACAATGAAGTCGCCAGTTAACACGGTCGCAAAATGAACCGAAACACAGGCTAGCTCTGTGCTTGTTTATGTTAACTCAGATGATCATCTAGCTCTATAGCGCTGCACTGACCCTCCTGGGAGCATAGACACTGCAAGCTCACCCCAGGTCTTAAACTCAGTTGTTTACGTTGTGAAGAATGTCATATTTTTCTTCCCTAGTAGCCTAAAGCCAATGATTGTGCGCCAGCTCTCCTTTAGAGGCAACTCTCACCTGCGTGCCCACCTGAAAGACATGGCCAGACCCAGTTCAGGTAGTCTTCATTCTTTACAGTCCCTGCTTCTGTTATTTCCTTATCCTGATGAGCAATTATTACATTAGTCATCCACAAATTCATGAGCCTTAATTTTTTGTCGTTTTGTATGTATGTATGTGTGTGTGTGTGTGTGTGTGTGTGTATGTATGGACATGTTTATCTGCAGACCTGGCAGCACTCAGGGAGATTTTCTCCGAGGCCAAGAACATAGCCATCATCACCGGAGCAGGGGTGAGTGCAGAGAGTGGAGTCCCCACCTTCAGAGGAGCAGGAGGCTACTGGAGAAAATGGCAAGCACAGGTATGCAAGCATATTGTTATATTACTGCACTGTATTATTGTATTACAATGACAGGTGTTTCTGTAGTTCTCCTTCGTTCATTTGATTGTGGTATAAACACCTGACAGTATAATGAATTTTAATACGACAGCACTGGTGCTGTGCAGATGAGTCTGAGGCTTCTTCTATTGACAGTGTTGGAGTTTATTTAGTCTCAATTTACAACAACAAAAAGGAGCTTAATGCCAATAAAATCCCGGGGATCTTTTCAATCAGCACTGACCTTTGTCAGTATTAATGGCCTTTTGTCACGTTTTCATCTTTTAGAAACTTGCCACCCCAGAGGCCTTCTCCAGGAATCCCTCGCGTGTTTGGGAGTTTTACCATTACCGCCGCGAGGTCATGCTCACAAAAAATCCCAACCCGGCCCACCTGGCCATCGTGGAGTGTGAGGAGCGACTGAGCAAACAGGGACGTACGGTTACAGTCATCACTCAAAACATCGACGAGCTCCACCGCCGCGCCGGATCCAAAAACCTCCTGGAACTCCACGGCAAGTAGAATACACTAAATGCCAGCATGGATCTAGTAAGCTACTCGTAACTATTCTAGTACTCGACAAAGAACACAAAAGTATGTTTTCAAGCAAAAATGCCAATCATTTGTTTTTCTCCAGCTTCTAAATTTTGAAGATTTGCTTCCTTGTTGGTCAGACAAAACAGGAAATTTGAGACCATCACAAATTTCACAGCAAATTGATGGGCACTTATCACTATATTTAGACATCTTATAGGCCCTAATTGAGAGAATAATTATTTGTCCTTCCATCTGCACACTTGATTATTTTCATTACCGATTGATCCGCTGATCAATTTTCAATAGTTGATTAATTGGTTAGTCCATAAAATGTCATATGAGTAGGAAAATGTTCATAAATTAGGTTTTTATGATTATTATATATGTACATCTCCAGACTGGAGAAACTGGGACTTGTACATATTTGGTATTTTTATTTGATATATTACACAAAACAATTAATCAGTTGTTAGAATAGTCTTTTATAAAATTTCTGTCTTCCGACTAATTCATTGACTATTTGTTTCAGCACTAACATACAGTATTAACTCTTGTATTGTTAATCCAGGAAGTCTGTTTAAAACCCGCTGTATGAGCTGTGGTCATGAAGCGGCCAATTACAAGAGCCCCATCTGTGCCGCTCTGGAGGGCAAAGGGTAAGAGCGTCATCTGGCGTCGTTGGGTGAATTGGACTGTTTTACCTCGACAATGTGGTGTCATGGCCCGGCTCCGAGACCATAACAAATATGGGAAGCGCATGCAAGGAATAAACTAAAAGAAAGGAATTTGGATCATTAAGGGTTAATTTGAACAGATGTAACAAAAATGTCAAAGCTAAAGAACACTGGCAGGAAAACATGCTGCCTAAACAAGTGCAAAAATGAACTGTACAGAAATGAGGACAAGAAACGACAAGGGTGGGGCAAGTTTCAGGCATACACCCCCCCCCCCCCCCCCCCCCCCAAATCACACACATTAACAACACAACATACAAGCCCTGGTAGAGTCACAATGCAAATGTGTTTGAAGAGATAAGATAATCCTTTATTAGTCCCGCAGTGGGGAAATTTACAGGATTACAGCGGCATAGTGGATAGTGCAAACAAGAGCCATAGTAAAAAAACAAGATCAAAAATAAGTATTACAAATAAGTATTAAAACAGTAAAGAATGAGATATTGATCATATTCATTTGAGCACAAAATGCCGGAGGAGAAAAAGCCTGTTTCAGTCTGTCAGATGTCAGCAGCTAAATGACACCTGATGACGTGTTGACAAGGAAAATGTGTGACCAAACTTAAATGTCGCTCCGTCACTCATCTGACATTTAAAAGTGATGTTTTTTTTAACAGCTGAAATGTTCCATTAATCAATTTAGTCTCTGCTGTGGACACAGTGACGGAAGTCCTGTGCTAAAATGAATCATGAGTATCAGAATCACTAATGTTAAAACTGATCTGACCCGACTGTTAACAGTGATTCTGATTAAATCTTCAGCCGTACAGGTGATATGAATGTCTCACTGCCTTAAAGCTAAATCAAAACATTTGGTGGAATACGCACATTCATGGCTAAAGTATCACTTTGCAAAACCTATTAAATTATCAGCCGTATGTTACCAAAAATGGTTTAGATTCTATTTGAAGTGTGCAATGTGAATACAAATATAAATATATCTCAGTGTCATTATTAAATCACATGGATAATTAAGAAATATGCTTTGGACGTGTTGCAGAATTTGAAGTGTATTGGGGGTGTGATTGTGCATTGTAGAGTCATCTAACGTCTTTATCCAAACTGCCTCCTCAGAGCTCCGGACCCAGACACAAATGATGCGCAGATCCCAGTTCAGCAGCTGCCCAGGTAAGTCACACACTCATGTTCTCTTTTAGTGCACTGCTCTTTTCAATTGAGGTTATTTGTTTTGACAAAGTGTGTGTGTGTGTGTGTGTGTGTGCGTGTGTGCGTCTGTGTGTGTTTCAGGTGTGAGCACGAAGGCTGTCACGGTCTCCTGAGACCAGCTGTGGTTTGGTTTGGAGAGACTCTGGACTCCGACATCCTCACACGCGCAGAGAAAGTGTTGGACAGCTGTGACCTCTGTCTGGTGGTGCGTGTATCTGTGTGTGTGTGTGTGTGTGTGTGTGTGTGTTTTGTATGTGCAGTTTCCCAACCCAAATCATGAAGTGCAAAAATACTTCACTGATGAAGTGGCCATTTTTACATCCATCCTGATTAAAAATTTCATAAATGTTTGATATATAAGCTCCATGGTATTTGGAGGATGTTAAATTCAGTACTGTATGAAAGTAAAGAATGTTCCATTGACAGCATCACTATCGTACTAAACCAATAAATAAATCATTCATTATTAATATAGACATATTCTCTTTTGAAGCTTTCTGTTTTTTTACCATCACTGATGTGCTATTCAAAGTCAGAATAAAGTTATTAGCCCTGTTTTTTTGATCCACAACGGTCACATTAAACGTAGCAAGAGAAGAAGAAAAAATAATAATGAAGTACTGCATCTTCAGAACCTTAAATATAAAAAGGAAAATTTAAATAACAAATATGTAAAATATATTTGTTTAAAGATAAAGAGCTGTTCAATGTTCAACACCAAGAGGATGGAATGTGCAAAACATCGACTGGAGTGTGCAAATGCAAACAGGATATGCATTAAAGTAACGCGTCAAGCTATTTACTCATTTATTTACATTTTCAATTCAAATCCCACTCTACAGGTTGGCACTTCATCCATCGTGTATCCAGCAGCCATGTTTGCCCCTCAGGTGGCAGCCAGAGGTGTCCCAGTGGCCGAATTCAACATGGAAAACACACCGGCCACCATGCGCTTCAAGTATGTGTCATTTTACTATCGCACACTCGGTACGTGTGCATCGTCACTAATTTGTGTCACGTCTACAGCATAGACAACATTTCTTTTCTCTTTGTGTTTCAGGTTCCACTTCCACGGCCCCTGCGGGTCCACGTTACCCCCCGCGCTGGAACGCCACGAGACCGAACAAACATGAGTCCTGGACATCAGCTGCACACAGACCAGACTGTCTAACACTGGAGGATACCAAACATAATGGGTTGAATGTAATGAACAGTGTGGTGATGGGGTTCATGAGAAGTAAGGACAAAAGAGAAATCGCTTGTTCAAGCTAACACGGATAAAACATACAATGACATGTTACTAGACTAAATTATAAATAGCTACGCACAAATTTATTTTAAGTTGATGCATTTTGTATTTGTGGCTTCTGTCTTTAATTAAGAGATGGTGACAGATTTGAATGATTTCATTTCTTTGAAGGATTTTCTTTTCTTTTTAACAAAAAGCACCGAATTGAAGAGTTATAATAGTGAAACTTGTCCATGAGCCATTGCAGAATGATTAACTGTGCTCTGTATAAAAGGTAGTGAGACGAGTGAATCGCATATGGACTTTGGATTAAATATTATGTATGCACGTTGAGAGCAACGTGTAAACCAGAGTCAAATTCCCTGTATGCGTACGCATACATGGCTGATTCTGATTCTGATACGATCACATATAGGCTGACTTTATCACTCCCTTTGCATTGAGTGAATGCTGATTGTCAGGCGGTAGGGGGCAGTGTTTAGCTACTGCTGCGTAAGCTAATGCACCTCCAGATGGGAGAGAAAAATAGACTCCTTCCAAAGGATCTGTGGGCTCTGCCTGGGATTTGGGCTGTGTGTGTGTGTGTTTATGTGTTTCAATTCAATGTTGTGTGAATTTATGAACTGTCATGAATACTGTGTTTGATGCCTTCCAGTGGGCATGAGTAAGCTTCAGTTAAACCAGGGAAACCAGTGACACTGCATTCCCGCATGCCATCAGGGGGAGATGAGGGATTTGTTTCATGTATATTAAGGCAAGGCAAGTTTATTTGTATAGCACATTTCAACAAGAAGGTAATTCAAAGTGCTTCACATAAAACCATTAAAAGCATCAAAACATAAGGCAAAAGAAAAGGAGATTTAAAAACAATTAGGAAACAATAAAAACAGTCATTAAAACATTAAAAAACAGTGTAAGAAATAAAATATAGTAGTAAAATGCAGAAATGCAGGAAATTGATTAATATATTAATTGAATGTGGTTCAAGTAAAGGCAGCAGTTAAGGCTCAGAGATGATTGAAACAGCATATTCCTGTGAAATGAATAAATGTATCCTCGTATAAACGGAAGAGTGTCCCTGCAGAGCGTCCTCAGAATCCTTGCATGTATGCATGTATCTAGAATAAATAGAATAATTAGAATAAACGTTCTGAATCAGAAAGGATCAACCTTTAATACTGGTGATGGTAGAAGTCTAGAAGTGTGTATTGACTGTACACTCTATTTGTGCTCTCTTGTAGGCATTTTTCAGCTTTGGCTAAAGGTGGGATTGAGCATGACACTTTAATGCTCAGCCACAACCAATCTCCCCCCCCCGCTTCTTCTTCTATTGTCTCAACATCAACACGTACTGCGCATGCCGAGTCCAGAACTGTGTTCTTGTGCGTTATGGTGCCGTTCAAGGACTGTAAGGAAAGTCTGAAGTATAAGCTCACCTCAGTCGAACAAAATATAAATCATGATTTGGTAATATAAAAGATCAACACATTTTTGTTGGTGAGAAAAATAAACACATTTGATTAGAAATTGATGTGATGGTCTGTATGTATTTTCAGTGCCACAACGACAAAATCATAACCAGCTACGATCGGCTGACTGACCGCAGCACCAGTGGTGGAAGAAATACTCTGAACTCTTACTTAAGTAGCAATGCAAGTAAAAGTCCTGCATTCAAAACCTCACTCAGGTAAAAGGACAAAAGTGTCACCATCATAATATACTTAAGAGTACGAAAGTCTGCATAGGGAGAAGGTCAACAAAACATCAGACTTAAACACAGGAGGCCGCTGTTCATTTAACGTTTACTCATGACAGTCAAATGTTTTTTGCTTTTTTAAAGCAATCTTTCCCTTGACATGCTTTTTAATGATGTTAAAGATCCATTTGAAACATGACAGGGGGCTCGATGAGGGGTCCTTGATATATCTGACAAAGCTGTGGGGGTGCATCACAGAAAAACAAGCTTGGGAACCACTGCTCTCTAGCTTCTCTGATATAGACCATGTTGGGCTTTGGCTAAAGATGGTATTGTTCCTGACACATCCCTCCTCGGCTATCCCCCTCCCCACCACCACCCACCCTGACCTCCATCATCTCAGCACAAACGCACACTGTGCACAGATCGAGTCGAGCTCTGTACACGCTCATTTGTCAGCAGAGGTTATTAATATTCGGCTAATCTGATGGGGATATTCATATAAGCGACCAGAAATCTTATCGCACCATCTCATTCTTTCTTTTCTAAGTTCCCTCATTCACCGTTTGAGAGCTGTTTTCCGTCTCCGCTCTCATCTGTACATCTGCCATATGTGTGCGATGTTTGAGACGCCTCCATCACCTGCTCATTGGAGAGAGGATGATGGTCCGACGGTCCCCCATGACTCTGCTCCAAAAATAACGGAGCCAATTTCCCGCCTGTTAGGTGGCGATTTCACACCAATCTGAGTTGTAGTGCCAGATAGGCCTGTCAGAGAGCGAGAGGCTATATGAGAGAGACAGCAATAAGGTGAAAAAGAAAAGCAAAGGAAAAATGTAGGTCAGACTGTGATGGATCAAAAATACAAGTTCTTTATCCTATAAACACGCCGCCCTCATCAGCCTGAAGAAGCCTATTCTGGGAGGTTGTTTACATTTTAAAGGAAAATTATCGTGCATAACCCCTTAAAAAAGACAAATTGTGATTCTTACAGACAAGCTAACCAGCATCTGGATGTAGCTTTCTATTTATTGTACAGACATGAGTATGGTATCAATCTTCTCATTTAACTCTCAGGAAAAAATAGGTCAAAATGTCAAAATCTTTCCTTCATTAGTTTAGTTTGTAGTGTGAGAATTTAGTGAATGTTTGTATCCCTAAGCTTGAATTGAAAACGCTAAACTGAGTTATCATTGTTTCCAGTTGTGACATTGCACCAAGGGCCCGTTTTGGTTTGTTCAAACAACCATTTATAATTAGATCACCTCAAAAAGTTGTCAAAGTAGTGAGAAGAACCAGTTTCCAGTTTTATGCTTCAACCACACTTTGATATCGTCTCTAACAATAAAAAAATGATGAAACAATATTTGTCCTCAATGAGACCTCTCTGTAGGCCAAATTTAGCTGTTCAATCTATTTATACTCTATTTAACTTAAAGGTCCTACAAATTGCCTCTCTCTTCGTTAATGTGATGTATTTGATGCTGAAACAGGGCCATAGGTTTGGGTACAATGAGGTGTAATGCTGTGTTCACACTAAGAGTGACAGCAACATTTCTACATTTGAAAAGGAAGCCAGTCACATGAAGCTAAAAAGTATCGCACATCAAATCAAAGTGGAGCTGGTCTCAACTTTTTTCAGCCTGATTATTTGGACTTCTTCGTCTCACCTACTAAAGCATGAGGTCTCCAATGAATATATGTATATACAATATATATATATGTGTCACATAGGGGCTTTAAGTGAAGGACCTGAATACTTCTTCCCCATATGTCAGTCAGTCAGTCCATGGTGGGGGGTTAAAACAAGTCATGCAATGAAGAGAAGCCGTTGTGAGGTTACGGTAAATCTGTCCGTCACTGTGTCAGTGTGAAACCAGCAACCACGTCAGTACGGTTAACCCCCCCCCCAACGCCCCCACACCACCAGCTTTATGAGCCGTGCGCCCACATGTGACTGACAGGGGGCTTGTGTTTGTCCGTGTGGCTGCGAGTGGCTGTATGACTTGTAGGATGGAGGCAGTGTAGCTGATTTCCAAGAAGTTTGTCAGCTTTATTTTGTGCAAACATTTGAAAATATTTCATTCGTATTTGTTCAGAATTATCACCTCAGGCTGCATGTTTGACTTTCTGTATTTCTGTAGCTGTTGGGGTCGTTAAAAGGAGAGAAAATAATAAGATGCAAAGTCACGGTGGGTCATGAATAAAGTTGTGGAAATCGGTATATATAGAGGTGTATTTAAAAAGCAAATGGCTGCACGGAGAATTTCTGTCCAATTTTGATACATGTAGATGTTCATTTTTCCACATAGCCAAGGACGTAGCTTGTGCCAAGACTATGGGTTGCCTCATGGAGCAACTTGATTAAATGTACAGTATGTGAGTGCGTGTGTGAATAATTTGTCTCCCTACAACTTCTTGTTCAGCTGACAGAAATTCCAATTAGAGAATCTTTCCCCCCTTCCTCTCAAACTGGAGCATCATATTTTATTCATTCGTTTGGCAAACTGTGAAAGTGAATCAACTTTGATTCCACAGACGCCCATCCACCAACATACCTGCAACTCTCAGCGCTATTGATTTTTAATTCACACTCAAGAAGACTTATACTTTCTTCCTTCTGGGGAGAAAACACACTTTAGCCAGAGGACCCGCAGTGTGTTTCTTCGATTTCTCTTCTTGTGAGAACCTTGTGTTTCGTCACGGATAGAAAGTTTGAGGAAGTTGTCATCCTGAATCATTATTCATCACTTTGAAAACTTTACAGTTACAGTTTCCTGTAAGAATTAGCCTGAAGGAAAGTGGTCAGTGCATGTCTTATGTTTGTGTGCATGCAACTATCATAGGCAAATATGCATACACACACATTTGTACTTAAATGAGTATGAAAACATGTTTGTGATTGTCAGGACCTTCCACTTAATGCACTCTAACTGTCGTACTAACCTGAACAATTCTTTACCCCGAAACCGGCACTTTGAAGAGGTGAGGACCAGAGAAGTTGTCAAAATATCCCCACTATTTAAACATTTTGCAAAACGTCCTCTTTTTTCACAAATGTGAAATGTCTATAGGTTCCAAAATGTCCTCAATTTCCAAACATTTTTTTGCATGTCTTCACTTTGCAAAGCTGTCCTAATTTACAGAAGACGTCTCACTTTGTAAAATGTCTTCACTTTCCAAAAAACGTTCCAGATTGATACCAATTTTCTAAAATGTTGTTAGAGTCCAAAGTCATGTTCAAAAATGTTCCACCTTTCCAAAAATGTCCTCGCTCGGCAAAATGTCCTCACTTATAAGATCTAACAATCAGATTGTTCCCTATAAAGATTGAAGCTTGGAGCACACACACACACACACACACACACACACACACACACACACACACAC